GGGCCAATAAAACTACAGGCATACCAGCTTCGGAATGAATGAACTCCGGCCGAGCTCAATTCTCTCCTTAAAAGACTGGGATGTAGTGGACATTGGGTGGCTGATAAAGGGGTATTAATTTCCCAGCGTGTTTGGGAGAATTTCGAGCGGAGTCTCCTCCCTTGTCACTATATATATATAGGTAGGGGATATTTTTTTTAAACCCATTTATAATGCATTGTGACACTAAATAAAATAAAAGTAGACCATTTTTTTGAGTAAAATTTTATTTTTAACTATTATAGGTTCAAAGTCACTGCTTGGGCTCCCTGTGGAACTAATTGCGCGGACTTGAAACCCCGTCCAGTCCTCATTGTCGGACTTTAAACAATACTCCATATCTTTTACAACTACAACAAGGTTTGGCAGATCAGCAACAAGACTGTCTATGTTCATTGAAAAAGTAGTATATATGTCTACCTGCGTTGTACATTTACTTATATACTTGTACAGCAAGTAGTAACTATAAGACGACTGCAGGACAGCGACTTAAAGTTTCATTGTTTAAACTATAGCATCAGGCTATGACGAATGTTCGAGATATGATGCACATATACATGTGTGAATTTCCCTATGGCATTAGCTATTTCACATTGCTATATATATATGGGGGGGGGGAGCTATTTTTCTTCAATGTCAGAAGGAGGGGGGGGCTCGAAAAAATATTGTGATAGAGTAAGGGGGGACTGCGAATTTTCCCAAGTTTTGTTTTACTTTTTCTCCAGACCACCYTGACGTATATTTAATGAACAGTCCCTAAGCGCATCACTATTCCTTTCGAAGCATTTTTTTGTTTGGTTTAAATTTTGACACAAAGATTAAAAGCCAATTTRACGCTTGGCGTTTGCAGTAAACGTGAAGATCTTCTTGAGAAGTTATTAGGCAATTCAACTTAAACGCTATTCGCTACGATTTCAGAAKTTTTCTTCCATTTATTTCTCGATCTTACCACTGCATCGGCAACCAAAGACAAATGTTCAGTTGTAGCTGGAAAGAAACACATACACACAATTCTGTCGAGTTGCTGCATGCGCAAGCACAGTTCAAGTCTGCGAAACAAGTGCATCTGATGATAACAATCATTTGTTAATTATTCATTGAATTTTTCTTTTTTCCTTTCTTTTCTTTTTTTAAAAGATTGATGAAAGACGCCAAGAAAGATGATATTTACGCTGAAACTATTGAGAGTTCTCAATATAATTATAATTGTTTCGGTGAGTAAACAACTAAAAACCTCGTTGCTAATGAACCTACACATTTTTGAGTTCTTAAATTTGTAGATTTTTAACATAACTTTGTTTCAAAACAAGATCATTATTTAGAAATTTGTTCGCAGGCATAATTACTTAAAATAAATGAATTCTCTGCGTTTACATGATGTTGAATATTGTTGTGTTCCCTCGCTCGCTTTCCGTTTTTTGCGTTGTTTAATATCTTACCTGAAGTCTACCTTGATAATGGCCGCTTAGACCGAAAGYTCGGTCGTATTAAAGCATCACATGTAAACGCAGAGGATTCATTTATTTTTAGCAAGATCATTGTTCTTCGTTTGCATGTTGTTTGTTATGCTGGCACCTGAGTATRCACCTTTACCATAATGGCTGCCATCTAATTAACATAATTTTTTAAAATTTATAATTCTATTCAAAGTAAACTAACAGCTGATAGGAACCTGTGCCAATAACAATATATAAAAGTTTGAAATGAAAATATTRAATTCTGGTGAAGTTATAAGGATTAAAAATATATAATAACACCAGAACGAGGCTATAAAGTCCTTGGCTGAAAATTACATACATTTCTTGTATTTTCATTTGGCCATAAATTTGTTCGCATTTTATCCAGGGCTGCAAAACTTTCCAAAAATATTGATTTCTGGTAGTTCATTCACTTGAAAGTGACAAAGTTTTCACATATTTCATATTCAGAAACAAATAGACAGACAGCCATTGGTGGAATAAAAATTGCATACATTTCTTTGTATTTTCATTTCACAATAACTTTTTCCTATTTTGTCCAGAGTTCTAAAGCGTCCAAACCCTACCAGATCATSACGTGAAGTCTTATTAAATTACCCTATCGCATAATGACGTCACACCAAAGCATTATATTGTTTTAACGCTAAGGATTATGGTCTCCAGAGGGAATCAGAGTGACTGCATATCAATTAAATAAAATGTATAGATGGACTATCACTGATAAATGATGTATATCAAAGGCTCGATACACTAAAGTTCTTCTTTCGGAAAGAATGAT